GACCTTTGTGACACTTATGTACTCTTAGAGGCTTGTAGACATATGTCGTGTACGTGAAAGATTGTACGACCCTGTCGGCCTATGTTTGATTTTATAAATGATTATGTTAGCCTATTAGGCCCATATGTCACATGTATATAATGATGTAATAAGAAAGGTACATTACGTTGGTACTCGGTCAAGTAAGGTACTGGGTGCCTGTTGCGGCTCATCGATTTGGGTCGTGACAAAAGTGGTATCAGAGCAGTTCAGTCCTAGGGAGTCTACAAGCCATGTCTAGTAGAGTCTTGTTTATGGGTGTGTCGTGCACCACACTTATAAGCAGGAGGCTACAGGGCATTTAGGACTGTCACTCTTTTTTCTTACTCTAGATCCTGTCGTAGAGCTCACTTATAAGAATTCAAGTCCCGAGCTTCTATTTTTATTCGTAATAAGACGATGTCTACGCTCAGAAAGATGATCGATAAGAGATATAGCTGTGGAAGTGTTGAATTAGAGGAACTCAACTTTGTATTATGCTTATGATAAGTAAATGTGAGGTCTTTAGCAGATTATGGGTGTACTGAAAGGTGTAAGGTTCTTGATAAGAAGCCTTAAGGCAAGAATGTCTATCCATATTAATGGTAAAGGACAATGAGAGATAAAGAAGATAAGTACAAGTTTCAGCAAGTAAAATGAGTAATGTGAAAAAGGGTATGGGGTACCCAGTTAATGAAGGTTAACAACATTATAATTGAGGTAGAGGAACATGAGCTTTTTGAGTTATATTCAATAGTAACAAAGGTATATACAATTGGCCGCACCCATTTTAGATATGCTCTATAGGGGTTAACAGAAGTAGTGTAAGAAGATATGATGGATGAATTATTTGCGTCAGTTGATTTTCGAAGGATATTACAAATGTTCTACTAGATCTCTTTATGAGACACCCAAATGGTACACTATAAAATAGTGCAACCAGATATGAGTACTATAAAGACATGCACTATAAGCCTTGAAGGGATAAATATTACCTTAATATGGTTCGCGTCCCTAGTAAAGCGAGAATGTTAAGCAACTTGAAGAGCTACTGGATGGAGCAAAGGAAAGCTAAAAGCGAAAGAATATCGTATTGAAGTTTTCACAAGAAAAGGGATATGCAAAAATATTAGCAGAGTAATGAGAAGAGAGATAACAAAGAATTATGAATAAGGTATGACACGTGGATGAAAACGGTAGAGTGTTACAGAACCTATGGTCAAATGAAGGAAGATACGAGAGGTGATGGGCCTTAAGACAACAAAAGAGTATAGTCCATAAGGTTATATCCTCATTTCGAGAAATAAGTTCGTAACTCCAACGCGACTACCAGAGGAAAAGTTAGACCCCAGAGTAATAGAACCAGAATGGATTGGTGAACAAGATAAACTAAATATGAATTTGGGACTGAGTGATTTGATAATAGTCAGCATCATGAGAATTTCAGATCACGTTCCAGCAATAATAGGACGGACAACAGAAGAAGATTCATGAGAAATTCAGAGAATGGTCATCTAGGGAGACGCTTCCCTACAACAAGCAATGTGAGCAACATTCAGCTTAAGGGACTGTATGTGCCAGTTATACTAAGTTTCACCCTCGTGAGTAAGGAATTTTGCTATCCTTGGTGTGGAAGTATTACCGCAAGGCGAGTAAGGGTCATCGATGATGTGAAATGATGCCAAAGATGAAAAGGTGAAACATCTATAGGAAGGTCGTCGTAGCTTCAAATCTTAGTACTCCCCTAAAGGGGGGAATACGGAATGATAAAAGGAAGAATGCGATAAAAAGGAGAAAGGGATGAGATTGCACTTACCCAAGTGCTACAGATATGCTATGATTCCAAAACATTATGCAAGCGCGACGTCACAGAAAAGAAGTAAGGGTTCTTGCCCGATATGTTATTGACAATTAAGGAGCCAGTGCGAGATGTAAGTTAAGACCAAGGAAATAACACAAGAAAGATTCCGCAGAATATTGACATGAGAATGGGCCAAAGAGTAGTTAGTAGTTGATTCGGGAAAAGCCTAGTCATGTCTAGCCAAGAGGATACAGATAAGACAGCAGGTCGTGCAAGATAAAGATAGTAAAACCCAATATAGTGAATTTAACCCCGCAGTTATGACATTGTAATACTTGAGAAATATTCAAATAGGAGTTGGGGTAGTTAAATGTACCGTATGAGTATTACGGAAATAAAAGGTAGTTCCACTGGGAAGACAGTCAAAACTTCAGTTCAGAAGCAGCCCTACGAGCAGATGAGTGTGGAGGTAAGTAACTAAGGATAATTAGAAATGAGCACGAACATCAAGAATTCTATCGGTAATACAATATAATAAGCTCGCATCTTTACAAAAGTCAAAGGATCCTCCCTAAGTACTACAATGAAGGACTAGCTGAGGAAATGAGGAAGAAGGTTTCAACCTAAGCACATGACGTAAAGAGGAAATGGTCGTGTAACAACAGTTTCACAACAACATTGTTCGTCCTCCAAAAGAAAGAGGAATCTACCGTGGCTAGTGAACGTGAAGTAAAAATCAAAAGAAATATTCGAAGATCATATGAGTTGTACGGAAATTCCGGCATGAGGAGGAGCTAAGATAAGCTAAGTATGCACACAACAAGAGTAAGAAAGATCAAGAAAGATAATAGCTTACGTTAAAATAAAGCCGAGAAGGAACGAAAGAAATTATTCGATTAATGATCCAGAGTTGGTTACGTTATGAACTCACTTAAGGGTTCAGAGTTTTATACATACAACATATACAACCATAGAAGATTCTGGTATACGTTAAAAGAAAAGAATTGAGCCCAGGTCATAAAAGAAGGATTAAATTGTTAAAGGATTGTATCATGCATATTCCTCAGCGCCCATGAAAGGCACCATGAACCACAGATCAGAAGATAGCTTAAGTCTACGTAAAGGCTGATCAGAAAGAAGAGGAAACTAAAGAATTACATCACCCAAGTAAATCAGGAGTCTGATTGTTGGACCTAGAAAAATTATAGAAGTTGTGCTTGAGAACATGATAGAATCACCCTTAATATCAGATGTTCAAGAGAAATAACACAACAACCATAATCTATAATGGCTCTACAAGGAAGCCAATTAGAAGAAGTACCAGCCTCATAAGAAGTCAGTACGAAGCTCCCACCTGATTTTGTATGTACCAGAGGTGCGAGTATTATAATAGAGCTTTAAGTTATGGACGTGAATTACCCCTAGGTGGAAGAGAGGTTATGAAAGAGATAGAAGATAAGATACGATATTTTAAGGTAAGTAAGGTAAAGGTGAACAACGTACGAGATACTCAAAGGCAGAATATGTGA